AGCTTCTCATATGCCATTGGTTTTAAATTTTACAATTTTATATTCAAATGATGTATAAAAATCTTTCCCTAGGAGACATGTTTTATAACTGTGAGGTTAACAACAAAACAGACAATATCTACTAGCAGTGGGCTTGAGTTGTTACAAATGACGACAATACATAACGAGTCATGGCAAATAATATATACTGGTGGATGAACTTGGACGGTTACGGTTATACTCATTAATAAATGATTTAAATGGTTATTTGTCTCTTTCCAATGCAATGATTTTACAATTTTTTTTTTGTCAAAGATATATTTAAATAGAGATTTCTTGAGTTTTTAAAAATAAATTAAAATTTTAAACGTACCTCAATTGAGAAGGTATTTATAACCATTCCAAAAGTCATCGCTCGATCTCGCTCCAATAAGTTGATCGATAAATATCTAGCTTCTAATTCTTAATCAGTTGACTATGTTCAAATTGATATACATATAAATCGTATCGTCACAAATAATTAGAACAGTTCGCTAAAATATATTTTTAACAATAAGTATAGTCGACGATGACGATGACGGTGATGGAAGAGACGTATTAAATTAGATTAAATTGACGTGGTCGGATGAGTTGAGTATACATCGATATTATTAATACTCAACTTGTTAATTAATTACATTTTTATTCCCCTAGTAGCCAAAAGGGACATGTCTTAACTTTTGTCCCAAAGGGGATTTATTTTCTTGGGTCAACTTCCCCTTTTCAAGGTTATATTATAAATTATATTCTTTCTTATTGTTTAAGAAAAATATAATTTTTCCTCTGGTTTATTTATTTTATTTTAATCATATATTTAATTATATTTAGTACGTACATAATAGACGTGGCGTTTAACGAGTGATTTTTTGATTTATTGACATGTCACGAGTGACATGTAGATTAATATGTAACATTAATTAATAAATATTATGAATCGATCGTCGTTTTAGGTCTTGAACTTTAAGAAGCCTTTGTTTCTAAACTTTTCATGTTTTTATTTTAACGAGTCATGGCTAGTTGTAGTGTTGTTCTTGAAATTGGGCACTTGATATATTGATTTGCCTGAAGTGCGTGATGAATTGGCGTGAAACGGCACAAAAAAAAGGTAGCTGAAATGATGAAATATAGGAAACTCGTGACATTATTTTACGAGACAAGCAACACGAAACAATTGAAACTAATTTTTGTTTGCTTGTGCTTTATGTTAATATAGAAACAATATAATGAATTGAATCATCTACCGTTTTCATAAAGGTACGTGATATGAATAAGAGAGAAAATTCCAAATTAAGATCCGTGGTAAAGCAAGACCAAAATTAGGGTCATTTTTTTTTGTAACAACTCGAACCCCATCGCTAGTAGATATTGTCCGCTTTGGCCTAGTACGTATTGCCATCAACCTCACGGTTTTTAAAACGTGTGTACTAGGGAGAAGTTTTCACATGCTTCTAAGGAATGCTTCGTTCCCTTCTCCAAGAGATCTGAGATCTTACATTCTTGCGCTCGAAATCTTAAACTTTAAAATATGAAGGAGTTTATAATTCTTCTATTTCCTTTTAGGTCTTCCTATTGTTCATCAAAGCTGCACGTAGTTTCTTCTTCTTAGCATCATTTTTAAGGCCTTTTCTATGTTCTATCGATGAACCGTGCAACATGGTACCATTTTCTATTATTGTTCTTGTTCTTGATCTTCATTGGAGTTCTTCCATTACTTTGGATCGACAACCCTATTTAGTCTGTCATTGAAACGAGCTTCTTGAAGACAAAAAAAGACGTCTTCGAGGAGTTTTAATATAACAGTCCAAGTCCACCGCTAGTAAATATTATCTGTTTTAACCCATTACGTATCGCTATCAGCCGGACGACTTTTAAAACACGTCTACTCAATAAAAGTAGAGTTTGTCCATTTAGTATTTTTCTAATCTCTTGGGCTTTGGGCTCATCATGCCCAATGGATTTGAATCAAAAATTAAAATGATTTTTTTTATTAAAAAAAACGATCCAAAAATCCTAATCAGCTCAATCCTATTTGAGTCTAAATTTTTTTTGAACTCGAATCGACCTCTTAGTTGAGTTGATGCATCCCTAGTTTTTTTCTTCATCTATGAGGGCCCATTCAAAATATTCGTCCCGATCTTTAAAACTCGTGTTTATTATATTTTAAAAATTTTAAAATATCTAACTAATTTTTAGAATCCGTAATAAGAGATACGATATAATTTTGGTTGAATCGAGAAAAAAGTAATGAAGTTTATTTTCTTTATCATAATATGAATTATGATATTCTATGAAGCGAATATTACTTTTATTAGATACTTTTAGACTACTCTCAGGTAACTGAAAGCCACTTGTTACTCGTATAACATAACGTTTCTTCTCTAAACAACATAATTTGTTCGGTAGAGCTCATCTACACAACGTGTCCGAGGTGTTGATCGTTACCTTTCAACTAATAAAGCTTTTGACAACCCAAAAATGGTCAATTTCTATCCTTTTATATATACAAATACAATATAGCAATATTATTATTAATTAATGAAACATTTATTTTCCTAACAACAAAATAAATTATTTAAATCCGACTATCGATTTTATTTCATTTTAATTTTTGAACTTCAATTATTAATTTCGAAAAAAAGCCGATAGTTTGTATTTGTGATTTTAATATGTGCTTTTGAAACTAAATATGTTTTTTTTATTAAAAAAATGAAAATAAATATTTATAAAAATATGTAAAAATTAAGATGGTGTTCTATACAATAAAGACTATAATAAAGACCGACACTTTATTTTGCTTAAATTTTACATAATAAAAATTAAATTTTTAGAAATTTAAAATATAGAGACCGAGTTGTTAAAATTAACGAACAAAAAGAATAAGTGAAGGGGAGGATTGTCGTTCATTGAAGTCATGGTGTAGTAGGACTATACCTTTCGAATAATAGAGATAAAAATAATAATAATAATAAATATATAGTTACTGACTTATTATTTTTATGAAAGTTAAAAAAAAAATAGTTTAAACTTAAAAAAGAAGCAATAATTTAATAAAATCAACCGTTTTGATTTTTAAAATTCGATTCGGATTAACCTATGTTTTTAGGAAAAATTAAAATTTATGACAAATAAACTATCTATTTAAAAAGATTGGAAAATAATAATAAAAAAATTTATCGTAAGAAAATATATATTTTAAAATTAATAATAAATTTAAATTGTTTCGTTGAATTCAATATAATTTTAGAGAAATTCAAGAATTAATATATATTTTTTTTTATAGAAAATTAAAAACAAATCAAAGAAAAACAAGGGAGAGATTCCACAGTAATTCTGGTGAGGGGATTCCCATGGAATCAAAGCTCTAAAAGCAAAGTGGGGCCCGGAGTTAGCTGGACCAATCAAAAATTAACATTCTATGGTGACATTTGGCCGAACTGGATATCAATTTCAGCTAACCAATAAGCCAATCAGATTGAAGTAATCGTCTACAGTATAGCTGACGGTTGGCTGGTGTGAGGCCCAATCAGTGACGTGTATAATGTTGACTTTTTTGTTGCGTCAAAACGCCAGCTTGGCTTTGACGTGTCTAGTACAGTTGGCACCTCTCTCTTAGTACAACTAAGTTCTCCATTCACTTTGGAAGTTTCCAAATTTTACGTACTAACTAATTATTAAAAAAAGCCACGTCATTTTTATTAAGTTTTTTTTAAAATTATTTATTTGTTATGATATTTTATTTTACTCTATGAATTTCTATGAAAAAAAAATAATAATTTTGGTTATTTATTACAATTATTTTTTATGTTTAAATCCAAATTTGATACTTTTCCACGTTTTTTTGTCCATTTGGTCTCCATTAAAGAGTCATGGTAGGGCAAACAAGACAAATAGGTAAAAAGACTAATCTAACCTCGAGAACAAATACTAATAATAATAATATGCTAAACCTTCGTGGATATATAAGCTCAAGATCACAAATGTTAAAACCTTAAATTAAGTTGATTTCATTTCAAGTGATTGTAACTGTGAGATCTCACGTTCGTTGGAGACGTCAACGAAACATTCATTATAAGAGTATGTGTTAGGATACAAGCTAATAACTAATACTTACCAATAAGGAAAATATAAACTAATTAAATATTGAAAATAAAATAAAATATATTACAAATTAAATTATAAAAGAAATAATATTAAGATATAATATTTAAGGTATATTCCATAAATAATATATTCTCCAAATATTATATCTCAACCCTCTCCCTCAAGTTGGAGAGGGTATGTTAATCACATTCAACTTGTCTGCCATAAATAATATATTCTCCAAATATTATATCTCAGCACTCTTCTTCAAGTTGGAGAGTGTATGTTAATCACATTCAACTTGTCTTTACGAGTGTAGGTCAATAACACTTTTGTTTCCTAGTAATGAAAATAGAGAGGGTTCCCAGTGGTAAAAATATCCATCAAGTTAATTCTAAACAAGTATTTGCTGATGATCTGGACACATTGATTTAGTTTTTAGACACTATACCTTAATATTATTTTCTTTTATGATTTGATTAGTAGTATATTTTATTTTATTCTCAATATTTAATTAGTTTATATTTTACTTATGTGTAGATATTAGTTGGTAGCTTGGATCCTATTTAAACCTTATGAATATCAATGACAATACATACCTTCGATCCCAATTCTATTTCTCATTTTTAACGTGTATGTAACGGGTCAATTTGTCACATAATATTAAAAAAAAAAAATTTCTAAATATTTTCATTTAAATCTTAAGTAACGGTTTCGTTAATTCCGCTCCCCTGGAATGATTGCTGGAGCATTGTTAAGGATGACATCAACGGTCATAAGGGGAAAGAAAAAAACTTATTTATTATTAATTCATGAAATGAAAAGGGCAATTCCATTTGAAAAAAATAAAAATGTTCATATAAAGTTAAGATCTTCCACATGGCAATCATCCATTTGAAAGCTTAACTACAAAGCTGCTTCCTTTGTATCAAAAGTTGCAGAGAATTCGTTTGTATATTAAACCCTTTCCCTTCAACAATCCAGCTCAACAATCCATTTTATTCTTCCTCCATTGGAGCCCTTCCACAAGCTTTTCATCACACCCATGTGGGTTTGTTAGCGATTCTCTCAATTTGGGAGCAAAAATCCAAAAAAATGGAGTTCCCCAATGGATTCCTACGACGAATTTTAGCGGCGGCGCTTCTGGGTTTGCCCTTTTTGGGTTCTGTTCTGGCGGATCTGGCTTCCGACAGGGCGGCGCTGGTGGGTTTCCGCGCGGCGATGGGTGGTCGGCCCCGATTAGAGTGGAATATCTCCGAGGTATCTCCCTGTTCTTGGGCTGGTGTTAGCTGTGGTAAGAATGGGGTTTTTGAGCTCCGGCTTCCGGCTATGGGGCTTTCCGGTGAACTTCCGGTGGGGCTTGGGAATTTGACGCAGTTACAAACTCTGTCTCTGCGGTTTAATGCTCTGTCTGGACGGATTCCGGCGGATTTTGCGAATCTTCGTGGGTTGAGGAATCTTTACTTGCAGGGGAATTTGTTTTCCGGCGAGATTCCGGCGTTTCTGTTCGATTTGAAGAATCTGGTTCGGTTGAACATGGCGGACAATAATTTTTCAGGGGAGATTTCATCTGGGTTCAACAATTTGTCCCGTTTGGCTACTCTGTATTTACAGAACAATCAGTTCACCGGAGTGGTTCCTGAGTTAAATCTTCATCTTGAACAATTTAATGTCTCGTTTAATCGATTGAACGGTTCGATTCCGTCGAAGCTCTCTGGTTTTCCAGCGAGTGTTTTTGAGGGAAATTTGCTCTGTGGGGCGCCATTGTTGCTCTGCAACTCGACGGAGACGACCGAGCCAGGTCGAAAGTCGAAGCTCTCGGGTGGGACGATTGCCGGAATTGTGATAGGAGGTTTGTTTGTTTTGGTATTGATTTTGGTTGTTTTGATTCTTGTGTGTCAAAGAAAGAGGAAGGGGAAATTGGAGTCGAATGAGGGGGTTCGGTCGGCCGGTGAGGTTGAGGCGCCGGGGGAGAAGGCGGCGACAGTGGAAGGGAGTAGCGAAAGTATAAACATAGATCATTTAATGGCACCGAAATCGGTAGGGAAGGGCGGCGAGAGAGATAAGAGATTGGTGTTCTTTGGGAATGTGGGGAATGTGTTTGATTTGGAGGATTTGTTGAGGGCGTCTGCGGAGGTTCTCGGGAAGGGGACGTTCGGGACGGCGTATAAGGCGACGCTGGAGACAGGGATGGTGGTTGCTGTGAAGCGGTTGAAGGAGATGACGGCGGCGGAGAAGGAGTTCAGGGAGAAGATCGAGGAGGTGGGGAGAATGAAGCATGAGAATTTGGTCCCTCTCCGAGCTTATTATTACAGCAGAGAGGAAAAGCTTTTAGTTTATGATTACATGCTGATGGGAAGCTTATCTGCACTTCTACACGGTGAGTTAGTTCTCGATAATTTGAAAAATCTAATAATCGAATAAATTTTATTCTAAACAATTACACGTTTGAATTAACAACAGGTAGTAGTAGAGAGTCGGGAAGGACTCCGTTGAATTGGGAAGCAAGGTGTGGCATAGCGCTTGGAGTAAGCCACGGGATTCATTACCTTCATTCTCAAGGCCCAACCATCTCTCACGGCAACATCAAGTCCTCAAACATTCTCCTCACCCAATCATACGAAGCACGCGTATCTGACTTCGGCCTCGCACAGCTAGCCATGTCTCCTTCCGCTCCAAGTCGTGTCGCTGGGTACCGAGCCCCAGAGGTCACCGATTCTCGAAAAGTATCACAAAAAGCAGATATTTACAGCTTCGGAGTGCTATTATTAGAGATGCTAACAGGAAAACCCCCTACACATTCAATCTTCAATGACGAAGCGGTGGACCTTCCAAGATGGGTCCAGTCAGTAGTTCAAGAGGAATGGACAGCTGAAGTGTTTGATGAACAACTTCTTAGGTACCAAAATGTCGAGGAGGAGATGGTTCAACTCTTGGAACTCGCTTTGCAATGCACAGTCCCGTATCCCGACAACCGTCCAGAAATGGATGAGATCGTTCGACGAATCGAAGAACTCTGTCTATCGTCATCACAAAAACAGAACGAGGGCATCGACAATGATGAAAGTAATGGTATTTCTACGCCGTCAAATTCTGCTCGATAAGAATTGAAAAATAATAGAAAATCTAGATATTATTCTTTTTTTCATTATAGTTTTCGAGTTTATTATACTTGTAATTTTTATACATGTATTTTTTGTTTTTGTTTTTATTTTTATTTTTATTTCATGTTCACAAATCAATGAAGTTCTCTAGTTGATGTTTTCATTTTTATTTTTATTTTGTGGAAAAAAATGTATATTGAATAATGCTAAAATTATATATGATTTCAAAAATAAATAAAAAATAAATAAAAATAAAAATAAAAATTATATAAAATTTAAAAAAGTGGTTGATAAACATAATTAGTTAGTTAAAAAGAGGGGTGTAGCTTTGATTACAATTTATAATAATTTATTTATTTATTTTATATATATATATATATATATATATATAGGAGGTTTAATGGGAGGTGATTTCTTGCCTTTCAATTTTCTACCTAATCCAATAATTCGTTTATACATTACAACAAATATCATTTTCATTTATGAAAAATCATCCAATTATTTTGGTTTCCTTTATTATAATTAAAAAAAAATGTTAAAATTTAATCCTTAAATTTTTATAAAAATATTTCTGAATCATTAAGTAGACACGAATTTTATTAAATAAAAAAAGTTTAATGAGTGTTAAAAGAAAAAAACTCTTTAACTCGAAAACTCGAACCGATCAACTAAAAGAACAGGGCCAAAGATGTTTGAAAGAGCGTTACAATATTTGTCAAGTTTTTTGGGGTTGTCTATGATATCATTATAAAGATAGGTTCTTTAAACGTAACTTCTAATGGTTGTTTTTAGAGCACGGATTGATTTGCTTGAATGACCGAGCATTGATTTGTATTTGTGTGTGAACGTTTAATATCTTTTATCTAAGATTGTATTGAAGGTAGATAAATAAAATCTTTTAAAAAGTTAATTAATTTTTAAACAACCCGACAATCCAACTCAACTCGGACCATACAAACCCGTGAGTTGTTTGAATGGGCCTCTGTTAACAACAAGTTTCTCTAAAAGGTCCACCGACTTTTGGGCCTTGAGAGAGAAATTATGGGCCCAATGGTAAGGTTATTATTATTATTATTTTCGTAAACGGCTAAATTATACAAAATATTTTGATTATTATTATTTTTATTATTTTTTAAGCAAGAGTTAGATTCTACTTCCAATAATAATAAAACATATATTAAGCTTCGATAAATATTTATTTTTTAAAATTAAATTTATACCTATTTATTTCTTTATTTTTCAAAAATTAAATTAAAATTTATTTTATTTTTAACTTTTCCTAAGAATTAAAATATTTTGTTAGTAAAAATAAAAGCTAGAGTAAAGATGTGGTAAGAAAATAAATACAATTTTTAAAAATAAAAAAAATCAATTAATTATTAAAGGGAGGATTTATTGAAATAGATGTAAACTTGAAACCCGAAACCTCTAAGTTTGACTATATACCTCGTGATTCACATCAATCAAGTTTGACTATTGACTTTAACATATTAATTTATAAACTTTTAAATAACGAGACATCTATTTGTTATCTCACATAATATTTCAGTAATTCTAAGGTGTTTAGCTAAATGATTAATTACTCTAATTTTATTTATTTATTTAGTTCAACAACATATAAATTACGCTTACGTTGACATCAGTTACTCTTGTTAACTATATTTTAAGGTACACATTTTAGGTCTCGTTAAACAAATTTTAATGAGCGTGTACTCCACTCGATAATGTCTCATAAATTGTATCCAATATCATATTTACCAATATTTCGTAGATAAAATGTATATATTTAGTTATAAACCGAACACGCAAAAGTGAGCATAGTTTAATTGATATAAAATCTGTATTCTCAACGAACAGATTTGAGGTTCAAGAATCTCGAGCACAAACACACAATAATTAAATAATTTCTAGCGAAACAAGAAAAATAAATTTTAAAAATTAGAAACAATTAATTTATAATAAGAGATCTTGAAATTGTTTTTCTTTGATGATAACAAATTCAAATATATTTTTTCCCCCACAAATTTTATATGGAAAAAAAAAAACATAACATTTTGACAAGAATATTACTGTCCGGATCCACAAGGCCAAGATTCTTGGAAAATTGGCACTTCACCATCCTCACGACCAACCAAGAAATCCCAACTATTAAAATCGTCTTCCCAAAATCCGATACTATTGTCGTTATTACTCGTGTTATTGCTATATGCCCATTCGAAATCCAAGAACTCGAGATCTTCAAACTCGATCGGGTTTGAGTTTGAAGACGACGAAGAAGATGAAGTAGAAACACAAGGATTTGAAAGCACTTGGGGCTCGACGATAGTCGTAGAGGTTAGTCCTTGTCCCTCATCAACTTTGGCAACGACCGATGAATTATTCAATGTCTCTGTGTCGAGATGACATGGGATTTGAGATTGAAGTTGATCAGTCGGAAAAGAGATTGGTTTGTGAGTTTGAGGGTCAATGCCCATTTTTCTTAGCTTCTTCTTAATGTGAGTGTTCCAGTGGTTCTTGATCTCGTTATCAGTTCTTCCTGGTAGATGCGAAGCAATCTTCGACCATCTAAAAAATAAACATATATATATAAAATTATTTTCACAAATTTTTAATATTCACACATTTTTAGTACCTGTTTCCAAGTTGAGCATGTAGGTCAATGACCATTTTCTCCTCGAGATCGGAGAGAAGGCCTCGTTTAAGGTCGGGTCTAAGATAATTAGTCCATCGAAGTCTGCAACTTTTTCCACATCGTAAGAGCCCGGCAAGTTTAGGGAGAGCCCTCCAACAGCACTGGCCATTGGAGAGGATGAAGTTGATGAGCTTCTTGTCTTCCTCAGCTGTCCATGGCCCTTTCTTCAACCCTACCTTCTCACAACATGGCTGTCTTCCCATTCTGCCCTTTTAATCAATTCTAGATAGAGATATTAGAGAGAGAGAAGACTTTTGATGTATGTCTGAAGATGATAATGAATGGAATATGTCACCACCACCTACATTTATATATATATATATATATATATCTCTATATATATTATTTCCCTTTTCTCTCAACATTAAAATATTATTTCTATATCTAAAATTAGATTAAATTTTAAAATTTATTATCATTTTAAATTAATTATCACTATTTTACGAAGAATTATTAAAAGTTGATGACTGAATTTAAATAAAGTACAGAGACAAAACTGAAATGTAACATGAAAGAGATGTATGTACGTACGTAATGAATATGGGTTTTGAGACGGGCGAACCTATAAGTTAGTCGGGGAAGAATTGATTTTTTTTTTATTCACAATTTAAAAAAAAAAAAATATACATTGATGTAATGAGTATGAGTTTAATATTCTTGCCCTTTTACCAAGATTTAAAGAAACCAATCATATGGGTATAAGACTTTTGGGACAAACAGCACTTTTGTGACAACATCTTTTTAACAAAGATATTTTTTTAAAACATACAAGTAATGAAGATTAAAGGCTCCAATTGGGTTTTGTTCTTCATTTTAAAAATAAAATTGTGAAGGATTGATTCATAAAAGTATTGGCAAATTGTACAAATGGCGTTTAAAATATGTTGTGATTTAGGGTTTGGTGCAACGATTGACATGATGTTTTCATTAAGTTATTTGTAATGATCATGCTTACTCGATCAAAATTTGAAGACTAATAATTTAACTAAGAAAGTATGATTCGAGTAAGAGAATTGAAATAATGATGTTATGTGCTTTGACTCGTTTTGTATTGTCATTAGTTTCAGGATTCTAAAACGCAGCTGTTAGGGAGAGATTTTCACATTTTTATGAGGAATGACTTTGTTCCTCCTCTCCGGAGAAGTTTCCACACCCTTATAAGGAACGTTTCATTCCCTTCTCCAATCGATGTGGGATCTTACAATCTACCTCCCTTGGGGCCCAAAGTCCTAGCTGGCACACTGCCCAGTGTCTGGCTTTGATACCATTTGTAACAGCCCAAGTCTACTGCTAGCAGACATTATCTACTTTAGCTCATTACGTATTGCCGTCAGTTTCACGATCTTAAAATGCGCCTGTTGGGGAGAGACTTACACACCCTTATAAAGAATGTTTGGTTCTACTCTCTACTCGATGTGAGATCTCATGTGATAACGAGAGAATTAGGTAGGTTAGGTGGAAAAGTGATCCCACTAATGAATGTTTTATGTAAAAGTGAGTGTATGAAGAGAGAAAAAAAAAGAAGCATGCTTAGGCTGTCTTCTTCAAAAAGGCCCTTGCCCACTCACCTCACATTTCTCAATGAATTAGCTTACCAAATATTTGCAAAAATGCCCCTAACAAATCTAAAAATAAAACAAATTCAAAATAATTTTAAAATTATATTTGATTGATTATTATTATTAACATTATGGTAAAAAAAAAAAATTGAAGACTATATTATAATATTAAAGTTGACTTCTATTAAAAATAAGAAATAGAATTGAGATCGAAGATATGTATTCTTATTGATATTTATTAGTATACAGCTACCAACTAATAAGGAAAATATAGACTAATTATACATTGAGAATAATATAAAATATACTACTAATCAAATTATAAAATATATCCACTAACTAATTATTATAATATATCATTCGAATATTTTTCTTAACAAATTTTTTCGTTTGGTGTAATATTAAAATTTAAAATTTTTAAAATCACTTCGGTTAAACATTATAATTATATTTTTTTTTATGTAATATTATAATTTTTATTAAGACATTTTATAATTTTTTTAAAATCATTATATTTAAAATTATCCATTCAAAAGTTTTTAAAAATTTTTTTTTTTTTTAAGAAAAACGTAAAAAGACGACCTACAAAACAAAAAAAAAATTGATTCATCGAATTCTCTGCATTTTATGAGAATAAAGATTGAAATAAATGACGACGATAGGGACGAAGAAATCTTTTCCTCTTCGTCCCACCTCGTAAGCATCTCTAGCGAAATTGAGGGTTTTTTGGTAGGGGCATTTTTGGAAAGATTTCAAAATTTTAGTCTGGCTTTTCCGATCATCGATTTTTCCGAATATTTCTCCTAGATCTATAGAGCCACTTCGAGTTAAAGACAAATAATTACAACTTATTCAAATAAAAATTGAAAAGTCTAAAGATATAGTATTTAATTATTAAAGCTACTTATAGAAATATAT